GAGAACGTGGTGTGGAGACTGGCTCATGTACTGGTTTGGACTTTTGGTTCATAGGCAACTTGTTTGTTGTCAGCTTTTCTGTACCTATATCTTCTGGGCATCATAGAACAATTTCTCATATTGAAAGTCTTTTTTTGTTTTCAGTAATATGTTATCAAATGCCTCCCAGCTGTTATTTCCAGATGACTAATAAAATTGTTCCGGGTCTAGTTTTCTTAATGAAGTTTCAGTGCTTATTGGTGTCAATATGAGCTTCTATTTTCCTTATCCAACACAATAAGTTAATGTATGAAATCACTGCTTCTTTACACTCTTGAATTATTACTTTCTAATTTATTTGAAAAGTAAAAAGAAAAAATACTTTGTGAGTCACAGCATAGTTATATACATGTAGAATGTTTTACAGGTCAAATGAGGAGAGATTTAGTGCTGCAGTTATGTCTCTAATGTGCATGTTTTGGATTATTTTATTTAATTACTGAAAACTTTTAGAAGTTTGCATGTTATTTAAACAGTGAAAGCATTTTGTATTTGCTTGTATCATGGTATAACTTAAAATGCTTTTTCTTTTTTTTTTTTTTTTTTTTTTTCTCTTAGATTGCAAGTACTTTAAATATGTATCACACCAGGGCTGCAAAGCTCGGGTGAAAAGGTTTCGGATACTGAAGAAATTTGTGAACAAGCACAATCCTGTCTACCTGAGAATATCTGGTCTTTCAGATTCTTCTGTACAACCTTGATTAGAAGACATCCTTAAGGTTCTTGCTGTATTTTTTCCTCTGTGAAACTGACTTCTGTATTGGTGCTGTTCTAAAACTTCTAGACAGACCCCATTGGCTCAGTACTAGACTTTTTTTTGTATATTTCTGTAAAAACTCTTTGGATTCATTTTATAATAAAATGGATATAAATCAACTGTTAAGGTTGGGGAATCTGTTTAATACTAGTCCCATATTTCTGTGTGAAATGCAAACAGCATCGACTTGAAATACATCTTGAAAATATTTAGTATTATGGTGTGGAATTTCTGTATCAGTAGTATTGTAGAGTTGATCCTCCTCATGGTTAGATGTGTAGATGGTGGTTTAAATGACTGCTGGAATGTAGTTCACAATCCATTCAGGACTAGCAGCGGCATTGGTAATAGGTGTAGTGTCTTAACCTAGGAACAGCGCGTGATGCCAGTGTGAAAATGCACTCTCAACCTGTAAAGGTTACGTAGCTTCCTGCTTATAACTGATCCTTTCCTGAAATATAAGGAAAATGGAGAGGCATGTGTCACACTTCTTGCATTGTATACTGAGAAGAATTAGGGGTTGTGAAGACCTACTGCAGCTTGTTCAAACAGATGATGCACTTTGACGTATCCAAAGGCAGTTTTCCACGTTATACTTACGGGTTGTATGACCAGTTCATGGATTGTTTTCACATCATTGGTAGGAGAGAGTAAAGTTTGCTGCAGCTGCGTGGCTACAGCAGAGGGAAGCTAGTGTTGCAGTGCTTTGAAAGAGCAAAGGCACAGAGCTACTGAAAACTTCTCTGCCTGGTGGAAGAGACTTCATAGAATCTTTTTGCAGTCTTGTCAATGAGTTGAAATGTGCACTGCTGCTGTATTTGCAAAGCAAATGTTAATGTGTTGTCACAAACTAGCATTCCAGTTTGCTTGAAAACAACAACAAAATGGTTTCCAACTACTACTTCTGTTTTAATGACAGGTCTTTAGAACTCTGGTGGATTAACTGCTTGAGCCACCTGTGGGAATGAAATAAAGATCTCTTTAATAACACAGTAGTATATGGATAAGTACAGCTGTACTTTTAAAAGCTGTGTGTTTATCTGGGATTTTGGTCTGGGTTAATATGGGTCTTGTGATATGTGCCTTAAGACAATGTGTCTTAAACATGAAGTGAGCTACTTGCCATAACTAGGTTTTATCAAAAAAAAAAAGGCAATTATTCGTCACTCCCAACCTGTGCACTGGTTTAGTTCTGACTCCCTAAGAATGCTGCTGCCTCGTTCTGTAACAGTCAATTTTTTTGTTGGAGATCTTCAACTGAATTTTGACTATTTTAATTTAGATTGTGAAGCTTCAAATGCTTTTCCCCTGCATCCTGTAAGGTGTCCCACGCACCTGGGAAGCAATCCCCCTTAGTCTGAAAGGTGATCCAGGGAGTTGCTCCTGATGCCTCATCTTGATGGGGGTTTCATGCCTGGACAATGGGGCTAAGGCTGTCCTGGGACAGCCCTGGGAGGCAACTGAACAGGCTGTGCCTTCCCTGGGAGTCCCTAATTTGGCTTCCTGCCTGCCATTTGCCCCTGTGTTCCTCAGGACTTGCAAAAGTGGGCCTTTGATGGACTGGTAACTCTGGTGATGGACCTGGGAGTATCCCAGCAGGGTATTACTTGGACTTTGTCCTTCCATTGTCTCTCTGTGCTCCTTTGTGGGGTGTAGAAGAGCTTCTATATAACCTAACACAGAATGGTATAAAAATTGAATGCTAGAGCCCCTCATTCTTCTTGAGAGCTCCCATATAATTTTCCTTCTGTTCTCTTAGCTGCCTGTGGGAGATATGTATGACTTGCAGCAGCTGAGAAACCATCTCTTTATTGAGGAAGAATTGTGAAACAAAGCAGCAGAGATTGGGGTGGAGGTAAGAACAATGTTGTAAGGAGAATGACAGGACGAAGAGGAGTTTGATGTCTTTGAAAAAATCTGTTAATCCATTGTGCTCACAGCTTTCTCCTATAACCTCTGGAAGCAGGGTTGCCAGGGATCGTGTTTTGTCCTGGTGCTAGAACTGCCATGCTGCAGTCAGCAAGTAGAAGAGCAGCACAGTCCCATCTTTCACGTCCCATCTCACCATAATACTTGCACTTGAGACAAACATATGGATTGCAAATCCTGAGTGGAATTTCCCGTGTAAGTTACTCAGTGCATACTGTGTTTTCAAGCTTGCATGTTGTACTTTGAATATGGGAACTCCTGGTGGATTGGAAAATTCTGCTTGGGCTCTGAGTTCTGTGGTCTAGATTTTGTTTTCTTATGACTTGACATCATCATCCTGTGTGCAAAACTTCTGTGAGGTGGTGTGTTGGGTTTTTTGTTTTTTCCTTCCATAAAACAAACAGCTCATCTCTTATTCACTGATCTCCTTTATGCAGAGGCAAGGAACTTGTTCAGGGTACCCACATCTTCTGTCCACAGACTGTTCCTGTTTTTCTCCTGTCACTCCACCTCTTGTTCTGATATTTTTAGTATTAAAACTTGACGTAATGATAACACAAAACTACAAATCACTTAATCTTTACCCTCTTCTTTCCCTGTTGTTCCATTCACGTTTTTCATGCTCCTGCTTGTGTTCTCCTTTTCAAGAATGCCTTTAGCTTGTGTTTCTTGAACTTTAGTCATGAAATGTCAGATGTTTTTTTTTAAAGCATGATTCCTAACCCCTTTCTTTACCCCACCAGGTTCTCTGTGTTCTGAGCAGCTGTCTCATTCTGGAAACTTTGGCCAGACTTGCCTTAGCTTTCAGAGCAGTGTAAGCATGTTGTCAGCACTGAACGAGTGCATACCTTACCATTGGAGTAGTCCCTGCAGAATCAGAGGACTGATGTGTTGTCTACCGGTTTGAATTTACAGTTCTTCAGGGCTTTTTCTCATTGGTGTTCTTATCTGTGATGGTAAATGGAAAGTTCTGCTCAGTTTTGTCTTGTTGCATTTAAAGAAAGGCTGGAGGTGATATGTTGGCCGAAGAAAAAAGACTGCCCAGTGCAAGGAGTCCTTGGGTAAAGTGAGCAGTAAGTTCTGTGGGAGGTTGTGTTCTCTCCTTGCCCAAATGTGAGTAAAGCTATTCTAGCTCTTCTGCCCTTGTCAGAGAGCAGCAAGGAGTCTCCTTGCCTCCTCATCCAAAAGTATCCAGTAACTAGGAAGTGCAGTTCTGCCCGTGGGTAAATATTCTGAGTGTTTGTCTGGAAGTGGCATGCTTCTAGGAAAGGGAGAGAGGCAGTTAAGGTCTCTTAATGGTGTATAATGTTAGTTATGCCAAAGAGCTTGGTAATGCTAAAGGAGTTAAAAGCATAGGCAACTTGTAGGTTGCAGTTACAAATGTAGAGTTTGCAAATATCCTCACTTATCCTTGCTGTTTGTTGTGGTTTCAAAACAAGACTATTACCAAAGTAAAGGCTTAATTTCAGTGATTGTCTGCAATGTATGAGAGCAATAACTGAGATAAACTGATACTTCAGCAGATTTAAATACTGGGATTTAAAATGCTTTATCTCATGACAGTGCTGAATCTTGTGATTGGCCTGTTTCCAGTTCACTGAAGTCTAAGCAGGGACAGGGTTATTGGCAGGCTGCTGGGCAGCCAAGGTGCTACAAGTTAGAGCCACAGCAAAAGAGAGGTTAGTTAAAAACCCAGAGGTTTTTTAAAACAGCCATTTCCCAATAAAGACACTGACAAGATCTGTAATCACTGAGCATTCTCGGTGTCATGTTATACTGGTTGTTGTATTGAGAAGCTGGGACTGGGAGCTTTGACTTCTCCAGGGGCTACATGCAGATAGATCCTGGGAGTAAATGGTGATGTGTGGGGAGACAGGGAAGAGTTTTGGATGAGTGGAGGTGTCCTTACATGTCAGATTCTCCCTGCAGCTTCCCTTTCCCTGCTCTCTGCCTGTGTCCCATGGAGGTAAAGCAGTAAGCAAGAAGCTGCTAGAAACAACACAAAGGATAAAGACCTCTATAAAGGTCTCATATTTCATATTTTTATTATTCATATTTCTTGGTGAAGGATTTCTCAGACAATTTAAACTAAGATGTAGGGATTAGATTTGTGAATGTTTCTAGGGGCATGAGAAATGTCCAGAGGAGAGGGTTCAGCTATGTGACGTGTGAAATACCAAAGAGACAGCCTGGAGGGTTTCTTTCCTGCCAAGTTGTGAACTTCAGAGAGAAGAAGGGAGAGGGAATGTAAGTAAACCTGAGTGAATGCTGAGCTCTGCATCTGGCAATTAATAAAGCAGAGAGGATGAATGAACCATACTATGAAGCAGTCCAGGATTTCTATACATCTGACCTCAAGAAACCTGCACTAGAGGAAGTGAATGTTTGGCCATGCACTGTAAGGAGCAGCAGCAGCTCTGGAGTTGCCTTTTCTTGCCCAGGTGTCTTTCTTTGCCTCTCCTTGTTGTGCCTGATAGGCAATCTGCTGGGGCATCCTCAGTGTCTGGATTATGGGCCGCCTTTCCAGCCCCCTTCTCACTTGGAGTTCTGCTCTACCTATGAAAATTTTGGCTGCTGTGACCAGGAGAGAGACAACAGCATTGCCGCAAAATACTGGGACATCATGGATTATATCGATCCTCGGGGGCATAAACGGTGTGGAACATATATCAAAGATATCCTGTGTCAGGTAGGGCAGAAAAATAGTATCTGTGTCCTACGCTTTGGGCTGACTTGGGGGTCAGTTGTGGTTCTGATAGACTCTTACAGCTAGCTGTGTTGTTGTGAAAAGAGGTGTAGGAGCAGGGGAAAAGTGGGCTGACTGAGTAATGGTACCTAATCCTCAGCTTGCATTTTGCAAAGGGTTTTGTGCATTGCTTTGTGGTATCTGGCAATAGAAAGTGATGTTTGCTAGCAATAATGATTTCTGAGAGCATTGCCCAACTTGGATGTTGATGGGAATCCTGCTGCTCTGCTAATTTTCTCATAATGAAGGGGAGATTTCCAGATCAACATTTATTTTCTGTTTGCAGCTACTAGGTGCTGGATTACAAATTCTACAGGATCAAATTATATGGGAATTACAAGGCAAAATCTTTGGATCTCTGGACCCCATGAAGGATGTTTTGATTATGTTTCTGCTGAGGATGCTCTAAATGGTGTAGTTACTAAAGTGGAACAAAATTAATACAGTGGTTTCACAAAGCTGCTTCAGTCATTGTATTTTCATCAGTGCTGTCTGCCCACTGTCCACCTGGCTCCCAGAAACAGGCGTTGTGGAGTGAGAAAAGACCAAAGACACTGTTCTTCCTGAGCTTCTCCCCTCCCTGTTATTAGAGGGCAGAACTGACCTGCCTTTTTAACAACTGTTAGTCACGCAAAGCTGGACTTACTGCATGCCAAAACACAAAGCAGCCAAAAGTCACACTTAATCTTACTAAGAACATATAAAACTCTTCTAGTTAATATTTCCTTAGCCCTAAAATATTATCTGTGTACCAAATGTTTCCACTCTTTTTTGATGATTGCAGGATTCTGGCATCTCCTTGAGGTGGGGGGGGGATGACACCCTTTCAGCACCAGGGATACTGGCAGCACCAGTAGCATCAGAGTTATTTGTCATTTTACAGTTGGTAAATCAGAAAAAGATGGGTTACAGATTCTTGCAGAACCACCAGTGTTGATCTTACTCATTTTTTCTACATGTTGCAGGTATAAAAAACACTATAAATGTGTTTGTCTATTGCCTCTTGCTTATTCTGCAGGGCATAATTTAATTTTGCATTTGTTCTAAGTGTATGTTGTAGCAAAAAACAAACCCACCCTGTATATTTTCCTGTATATTTTCAAAGTAATGAATTGTTATTCTTTTCATATCTTTCTAGAGTAAAATTGCTCTTAAATCTTTGGGGAGGAGCTTGTGGTTGTATCACATGTTGCTCTTTCTGTTCAAGTTGATCATAACCATGGAAAAAAGGTTGGTTTCTCTTGCAAATATTATTTGTCTGATGAATTAGTAGAGGAGCAAAAAATCTACCAAATGGTTTTGCTTTACTGATGTCACTTTGCTGGATCAAATTGTCACTGAGGATCTCATGTGGAAGGGATGGAACATAATGACATCTCCATTCTACCACCTCCACAGTATCCTGATAGTTTGTAGTCACTACCCCTGAAATATTGACCTGTACTTAGTGTCACAGCAAATACAAGAAGACAGATGCATGTGCAGGATCAGGACATAATTGTGCCAAGTGCTTATTTCTGCTGTGTATGGCAGGAGTTCAGATAAACTGCTGCTGGTAACAAGTGCTTTTATTGATATTATTTTTGTGGAACTTGGAATGCAAATATTAGATTCAGAAGCAATGGCAGACAAAATAATACTGTTAGCTTTTGTCTTTTGAACAAAAGTTTCAAGAAGGAGGTGTAGGTGCTTATTGATAAACCTGAATTATTAGTAGCTGCTCTCATTTAGTGAAAACAGTATTTCACATCTTTGGGGGATATCAGAGCAGTAGTGGGGTGTTGTAACAAAGCAGCTCATTCAGTCAGGTGTTCCTTCAATGCTAAAAACTAGCAGACAGTAAAAAACAGAGAACTTTCTGGTTCCTTCCTGGTGTGGTAATGAGTGATGTGCCGGGGATTATATAGAGGAAGCTGCTTCTGGTGACTGCAGCAGTCTTGCTGGTCCCACAGAGCCCAGGAAGGATGCCATGGAGTGCACCTTACCTTGGCAGTGGGGCTGTGTGTTTCTTAACAGATAGAAGATGATTAGATGGGGATGTGTTCTGGACTGTGGATTTCTGGCTGTTACTCTAGAGCAGATACGTTTCTCTTGAAACCTGACAGGTTGGAAGAGGCATCTAAAGCAATCTGGCTCTGCTGGTAGAGCTGCTTCAGATTGCATCTGGCAAAATCTGGGTCTTTTTTTGCTAGCTACACTTGTTCTAAGCATTTGTAGGTTTAGAGTCTGACTCTTGGCTGAGCTGTTCTATGTTTTAGCTTAAAAACAGAATCTGGAACTCTGCAAACTGCCTGTAACATTCTTAAGGAGGTGTGCAAGTTGCATGACTATAAAAAATTCCCTGGATATAAACCTCGCTACATGTGCTGGAGCATGTTTGGCTGCTGGCTGAGAGGATGTTTCTCTATTCAGAAAACTGCTACAGGAGAAGCTTAAAAACCAAAAAGGCCAATTAAGCCCTGTTCAAGCTGATTGAAAGCAGTGATGTTGGCATGGGATAGGAGCTGGTGCAGGGAAAGCAACATGATTTTTAAGCCAGTTTTAATGTTTTAACTGTCAACTTGATCTTAGCAGCTTCTGCTTCTTCCACTCTATAAAGTAGCAGGATTAATTGTATTTTTTCTTGCACTCTTGACTGAAATGGAAGCAGACAACCAACAGTGACTGCAAGGCCACCTCATCCCGGGAGTTTACCTAGATCCTGAGGAATGGCCTCCATCTCATGTGTCTTGCTGGGTCAGTGTGCTGCAGGCATTGTTTGCCAGGCAAACACCATGTGGGAAGCTCAGCATCTGGAAGAGCCTGGCAGCTGCTCAGGGGCTATGCTTATTTAGCAGGATGAAATGTAGGAGACCCTTAAACTGCAGACTGTGGGCAGAACAGAGTTGGTGGAGCTCAGAGGTGATGAGAATGCCTTGTTTCAGAGGAGGCTGTTTTTCTCTTCTCAGATTGCTTGTCTAGGAGTTTGACTCTGTTCCCAACTTAATGAGAGAAATTTAAAAAGTTTTCAAAGATGTTAATGAAGTAATTACTTCAGAATAGAATTGAGAGGAGCTTTAAACAGCAAGTGATTTATGCACAACAGAGTGGTGAGCCAGCTGCAGCCATGTGCTAGTGGGAATGAGGGAGCTTCCCAGGACTGAAATGCAACACAGGTTAGGCTCTGTCTACTGTCCCCCACCTTTCCTTGGTGGCATCTTATCAGGCTGTCACCTCTCCTTGTCTTAGTCACTTGAGCACCATATTTTGTGAAAACAATGATTTAACTAGAAACTCAACATATTTGGGGGTGTTGGAATATATACTGGTGAAAGTGGAGGGGGTGAGCGACGGTTAATGAACCTAGTAAGTATCAGGGGAGGAGGATGCCAGCCAAGTGTTACTGAATGCCTCCACCAAACCTGTTCTCCTCCAAGAAAGGCACTTACCTGAAGCTTTGGCTTTTGGGGATGTCACTTGGCCTAATGGTGCCCTTCTTTCTTCTAGAAAGATGGAAAAAATGGTGTGGTTCTGCCACCTGGGGCTGGGCTCAGACTGCAAGGACCGGCCTGGGGGACTTAGTTCCTCTTTGCATGCTGTGGACTTCTGATCTGGGAAGAGGAGAGCTTCCTTACAAATGCAATGTGGAAGCAACAGAAACCAATGTGTTCTGTGCAGCTCTGTAATCAAATGGCAGCAATGAAAAGTGAGAAACTTACTACACCATCCAAGGGTTGAAAGGGCTTCCCTACTGAGAAGTCATATCAGTTCTGAGGATGGCCAAAAGCCTTCGGGTTCTTCTGTGAGCAAAGGAAACAGTTTGCTATGCTAAATTTGGAATGAGAATCTGTAGCCTTCACATTAAATATCCTGGAAAGGCTGCTACTTGCACCAAAAAAAAAAAATTCAGTGCTTGTACAACTGCCCCAGATTTGTTTAATGAAGCAAGCTTGTTTAATGAGGCAGAAAAAATACTAATGTAGTAGTCCTTCATTCTTCAACTCCCTGTGTACTTATCTTCCTACATATGTGTCCAATAAAAACTCTGTATTGGCTGTTTTAGACTGCTGGTGTGAAAACCAGTAAAATAATCTTTCTGTGGAATTTCGCTTCTGTTTTAACTTCTGCAATTTTATGCTGATTAAAATAGAGGTGGGATTTTAATGGAAATATTTTATTGAAGTTCTGGACCAGAATTTTTGCAAGATGAGGAATTTAAATTTAGGTACAAGTTCAAACACAATTCCTGATTTTTGGTATTTAACCTATATTTTGCACAGCTAAAAACTTAACAATATTTGGAGACATAATTTTAGATACATAACACTTGAAAATGTTGCCTGCAGTATCTTTTTTTTCCTGAAGAGCACATATAGAATCAATAGTAGCTACATGAATTGTGTAAGATTATATTGCTTATTTGAAACAGTTTTAAATCTCTGCCTCAGTGGTACTCTGCGTGGAAGAACACGATCGAAGCATCAGACCAAAGATTAACTTAGCCTGTACATTTAACCAGTGTACATCCTTAGCACCTGCAGTTTCTTCTGGTAGAGTTTCACCACCTTTTTTTTTTTAACCTGGTTCCTGCTAGCTTTATCTGGTGTTCTTTTATTTTTCTTCTGGAGGAAAGGGTGAACAACTGATCCCCATCCATCTTCTCAATGTCACCTGTGATATTTACAGACCTCTGTCAGCCTGTTACCCTACTCTGATCACCTCTCTGAAAGATTGTTCAGTCCCACCTTATTTAGCTGTGCAGCATCTTTAACTGTCCTTGTGACTCTTCACTGTCCTTTGATGGTCCTTGTGGATTTGTTTCTCCGTGTTGCTTTTGAGAAAGAGGACCAGAGCTGCACACAATGTTGAAGGTGCAGGTGAACCTGGTTTATTTTCTTTCTTTCCTAACACTTGATTAGACCTAGGTATGGGCTTAAGTGGCTTAACAGCGTAAAATCATAAGTATATCTGGAAAATGCAGTGATAAGATGTGTCCATATTTGGGACTGCTGGCCTGGAGAGGTCTGAAGTGTGAAGGCTAACGTTCTCCATAGTGCAAAGGGTTGCTGCAGTGAGGGAGTGAACAAATTATTTTCTCAGTCTCTTAAGAACAAGCTACAAAATACCTAGTTTGAAATCTAGCAGGGGAAGCTAAGGGGGATTTCTAAAAGCAAAGGTAAGAAGAGATTGCAAAAAGAAATTGCCCGTCACTGCCTTAAAAACCTCTAGCAATGGAGAATCCACAGCCTCCACAGACATACTTCTGTTGGGAATAATTTAGGTGCAACTGATTGCTTTGGTAAAGGAAACAACTACTGACAGCTACAGACCTCTAAATCCCCTTTAGCGATATTCTGGGTGACTTTATACTACTCCAAAAACGACTCGGTATGTTCTCTGCCTTACTAATCCTTTATTTTATTAACTGGTTTGCTTCCATGAAGGTGCCTTGGCTTCTCCTGGCTGTGTGTACACAGCCACATATTTAGTTTATTTTATTTTCTAGGAATGTTCTCCATATGCTGCACATCTCTATGATGCAGAAAACCCTCAAACACCTCTAAGAAACCTCCCAGGACTTTGTTTTGACTACTGCTCCGAGTTTCACTTCAACTGCCGCTCTGCCATCAGCCTGCTGACAAGTGATAAGCTCATCCGAGAATGCTGCGAGACAAACAAGACGCGCTTTTGCAACCTCCTTCACCTACATGATGAGGACTACTGCTTCCCCAACGTGCTGAAGAACACGGCTCTCAACCGCAACCTGGGGTCGGTGGTGGAGGACCGCAAAGGCTGCCTCCAGCTCTGTCTGACCGAGGTTGCCAATGGCCTGAGGAACCCAGTGCTCATGGTGCACGCGAATGACCAAACCCACCGCATGTTCGTAGCTGAGCAGGTGGGCATGATCTGGGTCTACCTACCTGATGGCAGCCGGCTGGAGGAGCCCTTTCTGGATATTAAAAGTATAGTGCTGGCTACGCCGTGGATAGGAGATGAGAGGGGCTTTCTGGGGATGGCTTTCCACCCCAAGTACAAGTACAATGGGAAGTTTTATATTTATTACTCTTATATGGATAAGAACCGAGTGGAAAAGATCAGGATAAGTGAATTAAAGGTTTCAGCATCTGATGTCAACAAAGCTGATCCACACTCAGAAAGGTAAAGATCATGTTGAATGCTGTTGTATGCCACAACGAGAAATATTTTTTCTCTGTCCCTGTCCTTCTCCCGTGCAGAATTTGCACCGTCCCAGTCAGCCTGGTCCAGGCTTCTGTGATGAAGCTACCAGAGAAGAGGTTGGTGCAAGGTCGTACAGCAAACTAGAAATGAAACTGAAAAGAGAACACAGGATCTTTGCATCCAGGTCATCTTCTCTCTCCATCTTGTACTCTTGCCTTCTAAAGAACAGTAATAACCTTAAGCCTGTTCAGGAAGGACAGGGAACTGCTTGAGAGAGTCCAGTGCAGAGCCACCAAGATGATTAAGGGAGTGGAGCATCTCCCTTATGAGGAAAGGCTGAGGGAGCTGGGTCTCTTCAGCTTGGAGAAGAGGAGAATGGGGGGAGACCTCATTAATGTTTATAAATATGTAAAGGGCGAATGTCAGGAGGATGGAGCCAGGCTCTTCTCAGTGATGTCCACTGATAGGACAAGGGGCAGTGGGTGTAAGCTGGAACACAGGAGGTTCTGCTTAAACTTGAGAAGAAACTCCTTTACAGTGAGGGTGACAGAGCCCTGGGACAGGCTGCCCAGGGAGGTTGGGGAGTCTCCTTCTCTGGAGACATTCAAACCCCGCCTGGACACCTTTCTATGTGATCTCATTTAGGTTCCTGCTCCAGCAGGGGGGTTGGACTAGATGATCTTTCAAGGTCCCTTCCAATCCTCAACATTCTGTTATTCTGTGATCTGCTCTGAAAGTGTTTTGCACTGTAGGAGAACAGGGATGCTTCACTACAGTACTATACACTGACTTGATCTGACATATGTGCTCCTGCTGCATCCCCCCACTAAGAAAAAAAGCTAATTCTCAGTTATGGAGAGGAATTTGTTCATAGTGGATTTTTCTCTAGAGTTTCACAATCAACATAAGATGCTTCTGAATCCCTCAAATTCACCAACTGCTTCTCATAAGAAAGCAGAACCCACCTGTCACAGTCAAATTTTAAAGGGCAACAAGCACTCCCTGCAGAGGAACACATTATATATCTGTGTTTTCAGACGAGCTGTGATACTCTTGTGCTCATGGTAGTGGGTGAGCTCTGTAGCATGAGTGATATTGCTACGGTGCAGGTCAGAGCTGTTGTGCACAGGGCAGCCACAGTGCTGCATGGCTTGTGGGAGACACGTTTCCTCAAGGGATGCCATACAGAAAGGAGCTCTGCTGTCAGGCAGGCGGGCAGACTTGTGCTGCAGGCTCACAGGGAACAGGATGCAACTCAGCACAGTGTTTGACAGGACTGACAGGTCTGTACAGCTGGGAAACCTAGAAACTTCGGCAGCCTGCCTGAAATGTGTTCAGTCCTTTCCAGTAGCTACATGGAGTTATTTCTCTCTCTCTTTTTTTTTTTTTTAAGGAATCTTTTGGAGCTTGAAGAACCAGCTGCAAATCATAATGGTGGGCAGCTGCTCTTTGGTGTGGATGGCTATTTGTATCTGTTTACAGGGGATGGAGGGAAAGCTGGAGACCCTTTTGGAAAATTTGGGAATGCTCAGAACAAGTAAGTAGGAGGGCAACCGAAAGCCTTGAGTTTTTCCACCAAGACACAGGGTTTAGAAATGAGACAATGTGGAACAATAAAATAAGAGTGCTTCCTGAAAGTGTTTGTGCATCTGCAAGTCTGTCCAATGCAGTATTTCAAAATCTTTAAAATTTAGATTTTGAAAGCTGAGAGAATCCAGTTTGTTGAGAGGGGGAAAAGTCTTCTGTGACTTACACAGGTTGCAAGACATACCAGCTGTTGGTTTCTCTCTTTTGGACAGAACTTTTCCTTTGGAAAGGGGGAAGAGGGAGAGGATTGTTCATTTTCAGTTGGCTCTCATGCTGGGATTTGTCTTTTTCTGTCATTCTCTTTAGGAGTGCTTTGTTGGGGAAAGTCTTGAGGATTGACGTGGATGGGAAAAGCCCTGATGGAAAGCCTTATCGCATTCCTCCTGATAATCCATTTGTGTCTGATCCCAAGGCCCAGCCTGAGGTGTATGCCTATGGGGTCAGGAATATGTGGCGGTGTGCAGTTGACAGAGGGGACCCTGTAACAAAGAAGGGAAGGGGGAGGATATTCTGTGGGGATGTTGGGCAGAACAGATTTGAAGAAATCAACATCATTGTTAAAGGAGGGAACTATGGCTGGAGAGCGAAGGAGGGATTTGAATGCTATGACACAAAGCTTTGCCACAATTCCTCTTTGGGTAAGGAAGAAGTTTCCTACAGAAGATTAATTATATGTGTGTATTTAGTTGACTATAGCTCAATTTTTTCAGTGAAGCTAAAATAATCCGGTGTTGTGTGGTTGTGCTGGGTTTGGCTAGCATAGAGTTACTTTTCTTCAGAGTAACTGGTATGGGCTGTGTTTTGGATTTGTTCTGAAAACAGTGTTGATAGCACAGGGATGTTTTCATTACTGCTGAGCAGTGCTTACACAGGGTCAAGGCCTTTTCTGCTCCTCACACCACCCCACCGGTGAGCAGGCTGGGGTAGCACAAGAAGTTGGGAGGGGACACAGCTGGGACAGCTGACCCCAACTGAACAATGGGATATCCCAGACCATATGATGTCATGCTCAGCATATAAAGCTGGGGGAAGAAGGAGGAAGGGGGGGGACATTCGGTGTGATGGCGTTTGTCTTCCCAAGTATTGGTTACATGTGATGGAGCCTTGCTTTCCTGGAGATGGCTGAACTCCTGCCTGCTGATGGGAAGTACAGAATGAATTCCTAGTTTTGCTTTGCTTGTGTGTGCAGCTTTTGCTTTACCTATTAAACTGTCTTTATCTCAACCCATGGGTCTTCTCACTAACTCTTCTGATTCTCTCATCCCACCTGGGGGCAGTGAGTGAGCAGCTGTCTGTGCCTTAGTTGCCAGCTGGGCAATGACAACAGTGTGTTAAATGGAAATTGTTTACTTAAGAGCAAAAAACCCTTCTCCCTGGCCCTGCAGTGTCGGTATGAAATAACGCCCTGCTTATTCAGGGAATTCCCTGTCATAGACTGCACTGGACAAGGTGTTCAGGGTCCAAGCCTGTGCCTTGTGCAGACAGAGCTTCCCCAATGAAGTCAGGAAGGCAATGAATTTGGTTTAAGAAGAGAAGCAAAATTGTGTTTTCTTCAGAAGCTCTGAGCCATGGCTGTGGCTAGGGAGAATGGACCAGGCTGACACTGAGACCCTGAAACAAATCCTTGGGAAGAGGCAGTGTGTTCTAGCAAGTAGGATGCTGCAGCAGAACACTCAAAAGCTGTGCTCTGGGTTTGACTGTGGGTGTGATGGACAAACTCACTTGCTGCCTTTATAACAGAGTAGATATTGGTGGTCTTTGTAAATCTCTTTGGAAAGCACTGTAGAAGAATTAGGTACTACTATAATGTTCTTTAAGCTGTTGGAAGAAAATCCCTGGTCTCAAGCTCAGGTAGATGTTCCCAAAACATTTGTATGAGCAGGCAAGTGTGGAGTATGTTATCAACATTTCTCCTCTGCTATGCTAGTACCCACACAGCTCTCAAGTTTTTTTGTTTGTTTGGTTTTTTTAATGGCCTAATCCTCAATTGACAACAAAACTGAATTAGATTTTGCTGTTAATCTATGGGTTTTAATTAAATTTGTGACATTTCTGTGATCATCATCATTAAAGAGTAAAGACAAGCTACTTGTTCCAAGGGAAGAAAGTGAAGACAAGGCTAAAATTTTGTGAGATCTCATATTCAACCCAAGAAAAGGCTGAATTAAATTTTAGCATTGTTAAAGGCAAAGCCTTTATTTTATAAGTCTCATGACATAAAATGGAGATAGCACACTTACACATGTCAGCAAACCTATGAAGATGTTGAGTTAATTTGCAGTTGTTTGATCTTCTAAAAATCATACTTTCTCTAAAAATACTGGAATTTGTGAAGACAATCCCTGCTAAAATGATTCATGCAATCACAAACCTGTAAGTTAATACTTCCTGCAGGCTGGTATCTTTCAGCATTGCTTGCTTGATGCAGAGAATCTTGGTCCTATGTGTTGTGGAAGCTCATCGTGACTAAGCCTTGATAAGCAACTACATGGAGAGCTCCTCCTTAAAGCCCCTGGGTCAGTTCTGCCCTGAAGTAAATTATTGAATTCCTACTGAAATTTAACTATGCTGTTTGTTCAACTGTACTGATCTTTAGGCATTGTTGTGCCAGTCAGTGTCATTGAGCAATTGCTTTTTTAATGTTCTCTGGATGGAAATTTTCTTGCTTTTTATTCTTCTATGTTTAACAGATGACATTCTCCCAATATTTGCATATGGCCGCAATGTGGGGAAGTCGGTCACTGGAGGTTATGTATACAGAGGATGTGAATCGCCCAACTTGAACGGCCTCTATATTTTTGGTGATTTCATGAACGGGTGAGACTAATTGTTTTCTCTGCAGCTCTCATTCTGTACCCACATTTGCCTTATCTGGGGAAATAAGCATATCAGAGCATCCCAAAACCTTTTGAGCTGGGGTAGGTGACAATCCCAGATGTCTGTGTGTTAGATTAAGAGCTCTGTTTGACCATTGTAACAACATTTTGGTTAGAATCTAAACTTCCTCCAATTTAGAGTCCACAGGGTAGGTTTGCTTTTGTTCAGGTATGTTCTTCCAAAAGACAAACATTAAAGCCAGTCAATAGTCAGGATCCTCACTGACGCCTTTTTCCAGTAATGCATATTTTGACAGGAACTAATCTTGATAATGGAAACATAAAACACAGGGTTTTATTTTTCATCTAGTCGACTTATGGCTTTACAGGAAGATGAGAAGACAAGTAAGTGGAAGAAGCAAGATATCTGCATTGGTAGCACAAAAGCTTGTGCTTTCCCTGGGATGATCAGTTCTTACAGCAAATTCATCATCTCATTTGCTGAGGATGAAGCAGGTAGGTATCATGCTAGCCATACATATCTTTATTGGAAACTATACTGTCAGTTCTGTGTTGTAGGGCAAATATATATAATTACATTGCTCCTCAGATGCTACTAGAGAGCAAGCACTGCAAAACAGATTTGTGGCTATCTCAGCATGGCGGGTGGGGTTGGTATGGGGTTCAGGGAGGTCTCCTGCCCTGGGAGGCTATTGCAGATTGGCTTGATGGAGAGCTCAGGAGACAGATCCTCAAGTGGACTTGCAAGCTGAACAATACAGGTTCTCTAAGGAGTTTGAACTGCTGTTTGTTTGAGCTTTTCCCTGTTGTCTTGTTGCTTGTTTATGCTGTTTGGTTAATGAAAAGATTATATCAATGCAATTTGTTCTTTCATTGTAACAGCTCACCTTCACTTGAGTTCTTACAGCATCTCTGAATTTCCCCTCTTCATTGGTATAAATTCCTCAGTCTTATTCACAACAGCAGCACTTCACACTGTGGATTATATACCAAGGCTTTATTTGGGGATGAGGAAAGCCACTAATTTGAAAGTTGAGTGGAAATGTGGAAACACAATAATCCTCATTGTGTAGGACCATTGCTATGGTCACAATGACCAGATCTCTCACAAAGGTGAAAGTGCCAGTGCATACTTTTTCACTTTTGTACAGTCTCCTGACAAATGGCTGTGTAATACAAAAAGTGATTGCAAGTTTTTTGAGAACCCAGATGTGCTTTAGTGAGCTCTGAAGTGTCATGATTCAGCAGAAAAGAGATTAGCTTGTAATGAAAAGATCCTAGACTGTCTGACTATCATATTCTGTCAAAGATGCAGGGAGATGCAGGCTTTGTTGTGAAATATGTACCAATTTTAACAACACGTGGAGTTGAGTGTATGTTAAATCTCTTCTATCAGTTGTTGTTTTAGAAACCAATATGGTGTCATCATGTAATATGAAAGGCACCAAAAGTTTTGCCTCTTTTGCAAGCTAATATGATTTGTTTGGATATTGTTCTAGTGGGTGCTGAAGGGAAGGCACAAGGAGTAGTTGCTTTCCTCAGCAACCATACAGAAATAAGAAGCTTCTGTTTTCTATGGATTAGCCAATTTAGCTCATGTTGGATTTTTTTTTTTTTTGTGTGTGTGACTGAGATGGTCAAATATTTATTGTGTGGTCTTCCCCTCTATTTGTAGTTTCTGGCTGCTTCTTTGGTACAAACAAGTTTAAAAAAATACATATTTACACAGAGGAAAGTAACCTTTTGGAGGGCCACTGACATGAGGTAATGAAGGTGCTGCTCAGGCACTGTGCTTGATCGGGGGCTGCTGGTTCTGCATGGAACCCTGCTGCAACCAAGAGATCACTTGGTGTCCCTGGGAGTCCACTGGCACAGGCCAGGGTGAGACCAAAGCCCACTTCTGGGAAGTAAGACACAATTGAGGGAGTGACTGAAGGAGTTTTCTTTTCTGACCACATGAATTAGTGGAGAGCCAGGAAAATAGAGAACTGGGATTCAGCTTGGGCACTTGAATCTGAAACTGGTTTTCTTTATTCACTTCCATTTAGGTGAGCTGTATTTTATGTCTACTTCTTACCCCAGTGCCTATGCACCACATGGATCACTCTACAAATTTATTGATCCTGCAAGGTTAGTAATTAAAGATGTTTTTCCATGCTAAATTCTTCTATAATCACCATACATTCTCCAGCTATCACAGTAGAAAGAACGCTAAGTACTACTGACACCTAATCTCACTGATTTCCAATATCCAGTCCTTGGTTTTTGTTCAGCTGCTATACATGTGGTGCAGCTTTAATCAGTTTGGTAAATTTATTCCTCATGCATTGTATCTGTGCACCCAGAAATAGACAGAGTTCTGATATATTATATATCTGGGACAGGAAGGATTAAAATAATGTCTCTTTGGTTGCACATCTGAAGTATATGAGCCAGCAGTGTGTCCAGGTGGCCAGGAAGACCAACAGCATCCTGGCCTGTATCAGAAACATTGTGGCCAGTAGGACCAGGGAAGTGATCCTGTCCCTGAACTTGGCACTGGTGAGGCGGCACCTTGAATACTGTGTTCAGTTTTGGGCCCCTCACTACACAAAGGACATTGAGGCACTGGAGTGTGTCTAGAGAAGAGCAATGAAGCTGGTGAAGGGGCTGGAGAACAAGTCTTATGAGAAGCAGCTGAAGGAACTGGGGTTGTTTAGTCTGGAGAAAAGGAGGCTGAGGGGAGACCTTATTGCTCTCTACAACTACCTGAAAGAAGGGTGTAGAGAGGCAGGGGTCAGTCTCTCCTCTTAAATAGCTAGTGATAGGACAAGAGGGAATGGCCTCAGGTTGCACCAAGGGCAGTTTAGGTTGGATATTAGGAAGAATTTCTTTACTGAAAGTGTTCTCGGGCATTGGAAGGGGTTGCCCAGGGCAGTGGTGGAGTCTCCATCCCTGGAGGGATTTAAGAGTTGTGTAGACACAGTGCTGAGGGACATGGTTTAGTCAGGGACTTGTCAGTGTGAGGTTAATGACTGGACTTGAAGATCTTAAAGGTCTTTTCCAATCGAGGCAATTCTGTGATTCTATAGCACAGTGGTGTTTTAAAAATGACAGTTCATATCCTTCAGGGTCATGACATCAAATATATGCAATGCACTTTCATATAAATATATAAATTGCAGTCCAGAGTTTAATTTTAACAGTGAAACCTGGTGGCTCATGCAGTGTTCAAATAATAATTGGAGCCTGAACCTGATTTTTTCCAAGCAAAATGTTTTTTCCCCATTAAGCTGTTATCCCTGCTAAAGTCTGTTTTTACAATATTAAACATGCTTATGTAATTTCTTCCCCTTCCAAGCTTTTGGATCTTGCTAAAAGGCATTAAATGAATTTCAAATCACCCTGTAAAGTAGATACAGTTTCTAATGTGTCTCTGCTGTTGCCTGGACCTCGGACACTAACAAAATGAAGAAAAGATGTTATGTTTTCTCAGGAAGTTAAATCCAAAGCTAGATAGTTAACTCAAGTTCCTATTCCCCATCACCTTGGTACAGAGCTTGAGTTTTTTTTACTTGCTGTAACTACTTGAGACTCCTGCCTTTAATAGCTTATTGTCTGCCAGGAAGCCTTTGAACTGCATTAACTGTGGCTGACCAAAATATAATGTTTTCAATTAAAAATATTTGTGAGCTAGTATAAACATTCAGAGTTTGAGTATGCTCTACCTCATAAAAACCAAAACAAAACAAACAAGCCTTGGAGTCCCTTTGTCACCCCTTAATGCACCATGAAGACACTCAAGATAAATCCTTTCTTCTTTCCTGCTGTAAAGGGAGAAAGGCAGTGTTCTGTTTCACAAGCAGCCTGCAGGAGCCTTTCCAGGGGGCTGCCTGCCTGAGGACTGGTGTGCAGTAATGCACCATGGTATGATGGCTCCACAGGGAACAGCAAGCCCCTGCCAGGACTGCGATGGTTTCACTGCTCAGAAGTGCTTTCTGGAAAGAAAGCAACTCTTCCTTGTGCTTTTAAAGCCTCATATCCATCACTTCTAGAGTAGGACTAGGCACTTATTCCCTTGACTCTGTGGAATGGACTCATGGACCAGTTAGAACAAGTCCAGAGGAGGGCCACCAGGATGATCCGAGGGCTGGAGCATCTCTCCTATGAGGACAGGCTGAGAGAGTTGGGGCTGTTCAGCCTGAAAAAGAGAAGGCTCCAGGGAGATCTTATAGCGGCCTTCCAGTACCTGAAGAGGCTACAAGAAAGCTGGGGAGGGACTTTTCATAAGGGCAATTAATGACAAAACTAGAGGAAATGGGTCTAAACTAAAAGAGGGGAGGTTTAGATTAGATATTAGGAAGAAGTTCTTTACTGTAAGGGTGGTCAGACACTGGAACAGGTTGCCCAAGGAAGTTGTAGATGCCCCCTCCCTGGAAGTGTTCAAGGCCAGGCTGGATGAGGCTTTGAGCAACCTGATCTAGTGGAAGGTGTCCCTGCTGATGGCAGGGGGGTTGGAACTAGATGATCTTTAAGGTCCCTTCCAATCCAAACCATTCTATGATTCTATTAATTCATTCTTGTATTTTCTGGTTCCCCTTGTTTGCCTCAGCCCGGATGCTGCTCTGCTCAGCTTTGCCCTTGTCTGTTTGCTTAAGCACTCTGCTTTACACACCCCTGACATGCTTGCACTGACTGCTCCTCTTGCTTGGCCCTGGAGCAGGGAATCCCAACATCTCCAGATCCTGGGTTGTACTCTGGACCCCTCCTGTTTTTTTTTTTTTTTTTTTTTTTCCTTTTTCCTTTGCATTTTAATGCTGTTCATCGGATTCTTCCCTTTCCATACCACTGTGAGTGGTGGCTGGGATAACTGGCTCCTCTGATGGGTGCAGTCCCAGTTTGTCCAGCCCAGACATTCCCTGCTTCCTGCCCGCACTTCAGCAAGCGTGCTGGCAAGGGCAGCGAGCCACACAAATGCCTGTTTCAAAACATTGGCAGGGCCACTGTCACCCACCTGAGGGCGACTCAAGCTTCCCTAGGAACCTCCCAGGAAAATGGCTGGCAGCTGTGCCCCATGTTCCCACTTCAGTTTGCATCTCCACAGTGCTCTCTGCCTGGACTGGCACCAAAACCCCAGCCAGGAGCAGAGGGAAGAGGTGTTAGAAGGTGTCTCTCTCCTCTCCAACTAGAGAGTTGGAGAGGAGAGAGAGAGTGGGGAAAAAAACCCAACCCAAATGCCCACCCCCTCCATAAAAACCCACAAGCAATGCCAACAGCCCTGCTTTAGTAACTTATTTTTTTAAATTTAAATGGTGTGGAGGAAGCACTTGGCTGTTGCCCATGTCTGAAGGAGAAGGCTAATAACAAGAAAATGTGATGCCTTAGGTCATGCTTTCCTTTGCTCTGTGCTGTCAAGCTTGCCAAATTGAAAGAGCCTGTTCTTATTTGTTCTACAACAGCTCTCTTGGTGGGGAACAGAAAACACAGGTCTGTTGTTCTTCTTTGTATCTCCTTCCTGTCACTTAACATGTGGCACTTTACCTCAGGGAAAACATGCTTTTTTGAGATTTTTCTGTACTGTGGGGAACAGCAGGAGAGGAACACAGATACACTTTTCTTTGCAGTTGCTGCTTCCTCTCTCCATACCTGGTCCTTTCCCTTCTCATCCCTCTTCCTTCTCATCCCTCTTGCTGCAGCATTATGTTGTGTCTGAAGTGGCATCCTTCGAAGGTCACACTAAGTTCTGTCAGGCTGTGTGGGAATATTCTGCCACGTGTACAGAGATCCTTACACTGCACTGTGAGCAAGCAGAAAGCACTGTCACTCACAAGCCTTATGTACCTGAATGAGAAATTTATATAGATATAAAATTATTAATTCCTCAATTTTTTATATATATATATATATA